AAAAAAAAAAGAACAGCCTTAATACATACGCTTTTGGTTTTTTTGAGTTACAGTCTCACTGTGTCGCCCAGGCTGAAGTGCAATGGCACGCTCACAGCCACCGTAGCCTCTACCTGCTGGGCTCAGGCAATACTTCCTCCTCAGCCTTCTAAGTAACTGGAATTATAGGTGTGCACTACCACGCCTGGCTTATTTTTTGATTTATTGTAGAAATGAGGTCTCACCAAGTTGCCCAGGCTGGGCTTGAACCCCTGAGCTCAGGCAGTCCTCCCGCTTTGGCCTCCCAAAGTGCTGGGATTACAGGCTTGAGCCACTGCACCCAGCCAATACATACACTTTAAATATCTTCTGTTCTTATGCATTTATTAAGTTTCTTCCTCTTGTGGTCCCCGCTTCCCTCATTTGGGCCAGGGTGGTGGGCAGGGCCGGCACAGAGTGTTACCCCAAGGTCTTCACTTCGTCTATGAGCGTGCTTCTTTGTCTGTGCTGAAGACTCACTTCATTGTTGTTAATGGCAGCATGGTATTACATAGAGGGCTGTCCCATGTTTTATTTAGCATTCTATATTTATTGTATACTTTTGGATGCTTATTTTGATTGTATTTAAATAATTCTGTGATGAATTCCATGAATGTGCATTTTCTGAATATCTGCCTAATTATTCGCCTAGCATATCTTTCCAAAAGTAGGAGCTGGTCAAAGTGCACAAACACCTTATTAAGCACTTTCTGTATCTTGCCCATGGTGCTCCAGAAATTTACTAGTTAAGATTTTGGGTTTTTTTTGAGTTGGAGTCTCATTCTGTCACCCAGGCTGGAGTGCAGTGGCATGCTCACGGCTACCACAGCATCGACCTGCTGGGCTCAGACAATCCTTCCACCTCAACCTTCCAAGTAGGTAGAACTATAGGTATGCGCTACCACCCCGGCTAATTTTTTTTTTATTTTTATTTTTTGGAGTTGGAGTCTCACTCTGTCACCCAGGCTGGAGTGCAGTGGCATACTCACAGCCACCCCAATGTTGACCTGCTGGACTCCGGCAATCCTTCTGCCTCAGCCTTCCAAGTAGCTGGAACTACAGGCACGTGCTACCATGTCCGGCTAATTTTTTTATTTATTGTAGAGACGAGGTCTCACCAAGTTACCCAGGCTGGTCTCAAACCCTTAGGCTCCCAAAGTGCTGGGATTTCAGGCTTGAGCCACTGCACCTGCAACTAGTTAACATTTTTACTGAGACTCCCCAATACTGAGTATTATTGCATCACTTTTTTTTTTTTTTTTTTTTTTAGTTGGAATCTCGCTCTGTCGCCCAGGCTGGAGGGCGGTGGCTCACTCATGGCCACCACAGCCTTGACCTGCTGGGCTCAGGCTATCCTTCCGCCTCAGCCTTCCAAGTAGCTGAAACTATAGGCGCATACTACCACGTCCAGCTGATTTTTTGATTTATTGTAGAGATGAGGTCTCACCAAGTTACCCAGGCTGGTCTCGAACCCATGAGCTCAGGCAATCCTCTCACCTTGGCCTCCCAAAGTG